CGAAGTGGCAATGGAAATGGTTTTCTTTATAAGTAATGCTTCTTGATCTCTATAGTTTAGTTTTTAATTTTCAATAATAATTTTTAATTTGTATATAGTTCCACTACTCAAAGCAATGGTATGCAAGTTGACGATAATACATTTTTACCAATCGAACAAAATCGTTTAAGGTGAGTTAGTGAAAATTGTATTGGAAAAGATTTTGTTTTTACAATTATTTAAAAATCTAGAAAATTGACTTATTGTGATGAAAGTGATTACATAGAATCAAACATTTTTCAGAGAGGAACAGTATGTTGAAAATGATGTAAATAATTTGGCACCCCCAAAACCCTCAAGTAAACAAATTGAAAGACAAATTCCCGCTGATCAATTCATTGCTAATGACAATATTCAAACAGTCGTTAAAAGTGTTGTAGAACCAGTTATAACTACTACTCAGGTAATAATAGTAAAAAAGACTTAAAGTCAAATGTCTTTTGAGTTCCTAAAATAATTTAAAATATTTTGAAAGGCACCACAGAAGCTTAAAGGTAAAATATAGTTGAAATACAAATAATTTGCAGCTATTTTAAATAGGTACCTCAAGGTTTAATAATACTTATAACTTTATAAGTTATTTCATTGTTCTCTGTCTGTCACAACAATTACTGTTATCGCTATCTATAATTTTTTTGTTTACTTATTACTTTTTATAACATTGATTTTAAATTTAAATTTTTACTTTATAAACATGTTGTAGTTTACTGTTCGTTATGTACACTTTTTCAGTTATAGAATAATAGGACCTTAGAACTAGAATGTTTGATCATTGAGAATGGTATGATTTTTCCCATAAAAAATTATACTAAAAATCTGAGTCTTGTAAAATAATAATTTATGATAACTGTAACTCTGTAGTATGTTTTAAAATATTAATTAGTTTAAAATAACCAAACATACTTTTAAAAATACAGCAGACAAAATATTATATAATATTTATTAGGTGTCTAAATTAATACCTAACAGATAATTTATTTGCAACTAGTGTTCATAGAATAAATTAATTGAGAATTTTACTTTCTGATTGGAGTGATGAATGTCTTAAAATGTAAGAAATACTAACAAGCATAAAAATGTATACAGAGTAACATAACTTAAAAAGTTATAAACACTTGATATTAAAGTATTAAACGGACAAGGATTCAGGGGCTCCATGGGTGCTCGGGCACCCTCCGTCATCTAAGCCACTATTCACCAATCAAATAAATTACGTAACCTAAAATAAATAGGTAAACCAATTTTTTTTACGCCCTGCTAAAATATTTAAACATCCTATATTTTTGAAAACAATAGATTTTTTTGAACTTTAAAAATTATTGATTGAATTTACATTTATTCCAAATTTAATGCAAGACTTATTAAAAACAAAATACGGTCTATACTCTGTCCCACGAGAGAAGTAGACTGTTTCCCGCATATAGACAGATGTCAGCGGCGTTCCGTTGCTCCATTTCCCTCACTATGTGACAGTCGGTACAGACGCAAGCACAGTATATACCGCACTCCCAGACACCGGATGTTTGTTGTTGTCGATGACGGAGCACAATCGGTTGCGCAAGTAGTTTTAATGCTCGAGAAAAGACGAGTTTTGGTCACCGCCTGGTCAACTTCTCTGGTGGGACGATAAATATGTTGTTCCATACCTAGGTAGAACTAAATCCATATTACTCCTAAAACATGTACCTATTATAATAAATTATGGACAGAAGTAACAGTACTATTCTTATATCTAAACACAATTTTACAAACATTCAGTATATAATAAGTTTGAAAATTATAAATATTGAGTGTTTCATGAATAAGTTGTAGTGAGTAGAATTTATCAGTTTTTTTTTATAATTGAGCAATTAAAACCTTTTTGCTTACTTACACATGCATTTTCATGAAGAAAATATTATTAATAAAATTACAAGAGGATTTTTTTTTTTTTTTTTTAATTCTATAACAGTAACTTTTTTTCTTCAGTATTCCAAATTTTTAAAGAAAACCACAGTATTCTGTGAATTAGTAATACACATTTATCATAAATACATTTTTTTGAAAAGTAAATTACATCATTGGTAGATAGCCCATTTCTAAATCCTAATTGATTATTACCAAAAAAGCATGTTTAGTCAGGAATTTGGTAAGTCTGCTTTTAATGCATTCTTCTAGTATTTTTGAAACGATTAAGGGTAGGGTGGCGAGCCTGTAGTTGCAACAGCATTTTTTATCAATTTCACAATTTACTATTTTAATAGTTATAAGCAGGGCTCGTAACTTCATGCACTAAAAAATGCATAAATAAGCATGCATTCATGCACTAAAAATTGTCAAAATATGCATTAAAATATGCACTTAAAAGTTCAAAAATATGCATTTATATGCATTAACATTTTTAAATTATGCACTCAAAATATGCATTATGTAAAAAAAACATGACCAAATTTTAAAATAATGAGAATAAATCCATACATTTTAAAAATATTTTATTCCTTTTAATTTTTATATATTTAAAGGTCAAAATTAATAAAATAAAAAATAAAATTAATACTTGTGAAACTCAAATAGCTTTGTCATCTTTATACATTTTAATTAGGTAGTCAATTTTGTCTAATTTGTTTACACTCTTATTCAGCACCAACAATGAAAACATTTGGAATGAAATATTAGGTTTTTCATTTTGAGATAATTTAGTAATATATATTTTATAAGTGTTTTTTTTATGTTTTCCAATAAGAGGGCGCATTAGTAGACAAAATATGGCATAAAACCATGGTTTCGTAATTCAAGTAATACGGCTTATTGAAGTGGTTTACAGTAAAAATACCTATTATAAAAATGGTAAAGTAGAACTTTTTTTTACAATCGTAAGAAGCCTGATTTTCGATATTTTTATTAACTAGCTAAATAATTACTCAATAAAAAATTTAAAAAACCGTTATAATTTACCATGCGATATTGGACAATTGGAACAAGATATCAAAAATCGGAAGAAAATTTTCAAATATTTGTCTAAAAAATATTTTTATGAAATTATATGCACTAACGACTGTAAAAAATCAACTATATGCCAAATATGACTTTACACCCAAAACATGCAAAAACATGCACTATCAAACTTCATATTATTATTACTATTGTTATGAAACGGATTTGTATCTCAGTTAGCATGTTTTCCTGTGTGGCAAAAAAAACATGCAGATGCATGAACTTACGAGCCCTGGTTATAAGTATAGAATTTTTATGGCCAGTAAAAAATTCTTTTGTCTTTTATCGGCTTTAGACTCTATTGGAGGCCAATAGCTACGAGACAAGCTTCCTTCTATTTCACTCTATATTGAGCTACTTCATTAAAGTAGTCTACCCCCAGTTGCCTTTTATGTTATTAGCTTGCAACAATAAATAATTTATCTTAGCAAAACCATTTAGTTTTTGTTTAAAATGAATTAAAACTTTAACGAGGACAATATGGTTAAGAACCTGTTTTGTATTAGATATTGTTAGGTATTTTTAGATATTCAGATATGAATGTATTGGTTTTACTATGATATGATTTTTCTTATACTTGTTTCAATCATTTTTCATTTAAATGTACACATTTTTCAAACTTAAATGACTGTAACGAAAAAAAAGTTTTGCTTATGTACCTTTATTTGGTTTTGATTGCTAAAAGAACAAAACTAATATAAAGTTATAATACATTTTCCAGTTTTTTGACAATATATAGAATTCTTTTCGGTATTTAAAAAAAAAAAAGTTAAATGTTTTTAATTATCACCTTCAGTGTTAATAGTATAATCATATTATACTACTGTAAATGGAATTAGTCTTAATTATTTTAGATTAATTATTTGTTATTTTTGTACTACATTATATTTATATACCTATACTTATATGTAATTTATTTTATTAATTTAGGATTGGGAACCTGATTGTCCTATACCGGGAAGAAAAACAAATACTGATGGAGATATTGAAGAAAATGGATTTATTTTTGAAATTTCAAAAACGGTTGAATTACCTAGTCCATTCTGGAAGAGTGACAACGTTAAAGAAAGAAACAAACCATGAGTCTGCAGAGTCGGAATCTGGCACCGTCTCTGAGATAGAATCTGAGGACGAATCCCAAACAGTTTTTTTTTAGTTTCAAAATAAAATATAAAATATTAGAATTGGTTTTACTTTTTGACAGTTTCCTTAAATGGTTTTCAGTGTAAAAAACAAAAAAGTATCCCTTGACTTGATATGCAACACCTTACACCACCGCAAGTAGGTTACAGGGTATGTTATGTTGTATAGTATGTATAGTGATAACACGTCTTGCTGCGGCACTCGTCGTTGAGCTTACAGTAGTGTTGCGCGCATGCGTATCAACGTAAAATCGCAAACTTTGGAAGGCTGTAACTTCCAAAATAATAATTTCCGCAAATTAATTTTTATACCATCGCTTTAAACTCGTCGAAATACATAAGTTTCCGACAAAAAAATCGAAAAATTCGAAAAAATAGAATTATGCCCTCATTTCTCATCTGTAGGCGAATTTGGTTTTCAAAGTTTAGCAACACTGTCCAAGCCTCTAACGGCTCCAACGCAGCTGACGCCGGTTTTCATTTCTTTTCATACTTCTTGTATAATCGAATATTCATGTCTATTGTTCGTAGTTTTGTCGTTCGTGGTTGTTAAAATATTGTGAGTCCTGACAGGATAATGTTTTTTTTTACAACGTGTTTATCTAAAATAATATAATAATTGGTATTCTGGGACATTCAAACTTTTATTTTTAATAATAAAAATATTATCTCATCAAATTTGGCAGTGTGATATCAAATTAAGATAAAAAGTTTTATTTTTCTTAATTTCATTTATGTACCTACTTATATAGTGCTCTTCGTAATTTCACTAAACATACGGTAGAAACCGTTTATAATAACAACTGTCGTAGTGACATCTGTATTAAGTGACACTACGTTTTAAAAATGTATATTCAGTGCGTAGTGTGCGGTAATTGTAATACGAATACCAAGCTCACTCGTCCTGAAGTTATTTATCATCAGTAAGTATCTATTGTTTCTGAAAATTCGCTCGGTCAAACCGGTGATGATTTTTTAAACTGTGAAGCATAAACTTGTTTTCATATATTCTATACTCAAGTACAAATATTAGGTACCTAAACTGATTGAGTATATAAAATGTATAAACATATAATTGTTGTAACTAATACAAACGTAAATCATTGGTATTTTTTGTTTCGTGTCTTAGTATTTTTAGACTTCAATAGTTTGATGATAATATGAAAACAAATAAGTATAATAAATTAATAAATAACTGAATTATTAAACTAATACATTTACATTTTATATAATGAACAATATTAACGTTAAGTTCAATATTAGGTAGGTACATTGGGCACCTAGTAAAATTTAAAAAAAAATATTAATATGTTTATAATTACAGTTTTAAAATTGTTTTACTATAATCAATTACATAACGTCATAACATACTAAAATATTTACATTATTATTTTTTTAATTTTTTTTTGTTAGTGGCAGAGTAGGTATGTATCTTCGGTAATGAGATTTTGAATTTGATTTATTATCTTCCACTCTAGCAATCTTAAAGAACCTATAAAATGATCATATTTCTCGACGATTGTGCCATATTCCACATATAGTAATACATTTACTAATTTATTATGCTATTGAAATTTTACAATATTTTATGGTTTTACTATTAGTAATTTTTGTAAATGTGTTTATAATTTATATAGGCGGAATATATTAAATCAGTTTTTATTGTAAACTATTGAAATCTAAAAATCCTAAGTTACTACTGTACCAGGTCAGTTGGGTCCGTTAATACCCATCCCGTAGCAGGAGAAAGTAAATTAATATTAAACCAGTTTAGTCTACCAAATTTCTATTTTGTGTTAATTTTTTCCTTAAACACTAGTAATTATTGTAATCATTGATATTTGCTTTAATATAGATTTCCTAATAATCAATATTCAAGAAAAAAATGGCTTAAAGTTTGTAGACTTGATCACTTGTACAAGTTTCAACGAGTATGCAGTGATCATTTTTTAAAAGAACAGTATAGTAGACAAGGAAACAAGCGATTATTATTTAAAAGTGCTATTCCCCAACCTTATGTTCGAAGTGGCAATGGAAATGGTTTTCTTTATAAGTAATGCTTCTTGATCTCTATAGTTTAGTTTTTAATTTTCAATAATAATTTTTAATTTGTATATAGTTCCACTACTCAAAGCAATGGTATGCAAGTTGACGATAATACATTTTTACCAATCGAACAAAATCGTTTAAGGTGAGTTAGTGAAAATTGTATTGGAAAAGATTTTGTTTTTACAATTATTTAAAAATCTAGAAAATTGACTTATTGTGATGAAAGTGATTACATAGAATCAAACATTTTTCAGAGAGGAACAGTATGTTGAAAATGATGTAAATAATTTGGCACCCCCAAAACCCTCAAGTAAACAAATTGAAAGACAAATTCCCGCTGATCAATTCATTGCTAATGACAATATTCAAACAGTCGTTAAAAGTGTTGTAGAACCAGTTATAACTACTACTCAGGTAATAATAGTAAAAAAGACTTAAAGTCAAATGTCTTTTGAGTTCCTAAAATAATTTAAAATATTTTGAAAGGCACCACAGAAGCTTAAAGGTAAAATATAGTTGAAATACAAATAATTTGCAGCTATTTTAAATAGGTACCTCAAGGTTTAATAATACTTATAACTTTATAAGTTATTTCATTGTTCTCTGTCTGTCACAACAATTACTGTTATCGCTATCTATAATTTTTTTTGTTTACTTATTACTTTTTATAACATTGATTTTAAATTTAAATTTTTACTTTATAAACATGTTGTAGTTTACTGTTCGTTATGTACACTATTTCAGTTATAGAATAATAGGACCTTAGAACTAGAATGTTTGATCATTGGGAATGGTATGATTTTTCCCATAAAAAATTATACTAAAAATCTGAGTCTTGTAAAATAATAATTTATGATAACTGTAACTCTGTAATATGTTTTAAAATATTAATTAGTTTAAAATAACCAAACATACTTTTAAAAATACAGCAGACAAAATATTATATAATATTTATTAGGTGTCTAAATTAATACTTAACAGATAATTTATTTGCAACTAGTGTTCATAGAATAAATTAATTGAGAATTTTACTTTCTGATTGGAGTGATGAATGTCTTAATTTTATAATATTGTGTTGTTGTGATTTAAGCTATAAAATGTAAGAAATACTAACAAGCATAAAAGTGTATACAGAGTAACATAACTTAAAAAGTTATAAACACATGATATTAAAGTATTAAACGGACAAGGATTCAGGGGCTCCATGGGTGCTCGGGCACCCTCCGTCATCTAAGCCACTATTCACCAATAAAATAAATTACGTAACCTAAAATAAATAGGTAAACCAATTTTTTTTACGCCCTGCTAAAATATTTAAACATCCTATATTTTTGAAAACAATAGATTTTTTTGAACTTTAAAAATTATTGATTGAATTTACATTTATTCCAAATTTAATGCAAGACTTATTAAAAACAAAATACGGTCTATACTCTGTCCCACGAGAGAAGTAGACTGTTTCCCGCATATAGACAGATGTCAGCGGCGTTCCGTTGCTCCATTCCCCTCACTATGTGACAGTCGGTACAGACGCAAGCACAGTATATACCGCACTCCCAGACACCGGATGTTTGTTGTTGTCGACGACGGAGCACAATCGGTTGCGCAAGTGGTTTTAATGCTCGAGAAAAGACGAGTTTTGGTCACCGCCTGGACAACTTCTCTGGTGGGACGAAGTATAATATGTTGTTCCATACCTAGGTAGAACTAAATCCATATTACTCCTAAAACATGTACCTATTATAATTATGGACAGAAGTAACAGTACTATTTTTATATCTAAACACAATTTTACAAACATTCAGTATATAATAAGTTTTAAAATTATAAATATTGAGTGTTTCATGAATAAGTTGTAGTGAGTAGAATTTATCAGTTTTTTTTATAATTGAACAATTAAAACCTTTTTGCTTACTTACACATGCATTTTCATGAAGAAAATATTATTAATAAAATTACAAGAAGATTTTTTTTTTTTTTTTTAATTCTATAACAATAACTTTTTTTCTTCTGTATTCCAAATTTTTAAAGAAAACCACAGTATTCTGTGAATTAGTAATACACATTTATCATAAATACATTTTTTTGAAAAGTAAATTACATCATTGGTAGATAGCCCATTTCTAAATCCTAATTGATTATTACCAAAAAAGCATGTTTAGTCAGGAATTTGGTAAGTCTGCTTTTAATGCATTCTTCTAGTATTTTTGAAACGATTAAGGGTAGGGTGGCGAGCCTGTAGTTGCAACAGCAATTTTTATCAATTTCACAATTTACTATTTTAATAGTTATAAGTATAGAATTTTTATAGCCAGTAAAAAATTCTTTTGTCTTTTATCGGCTTTAGACTCTATTGGAGGCCAATAGCTACGAGACAAGCTTCCTTCTATTTCACTCTATCTTGAGCTACTTCATTAAAGTAGTCTACCCCCAGTTGCCTTTTATGTTATTAGCTTGCAACAATAAATAATTTATCTTAGCAAAACCATTTAGTTTTTGTTTAAAATGAATTAAAACTTTAACGAGGACAATATGGTTAAGAACCTGTTTTGTATTAGATATTGTTAGGTATTTTTAGATATTCAGATATGAATGTATTGGTTTTACTATGATATGATTTTTCTTATACTTGTTTCAATCATTTTTCATTTAAATGTACACATTTTTCAAACTTAAATGACTGTAACGAAAAAAAAGTTTTGCTTATGTACCTTTATTTGGTTTTGATTGCTAAAAGAACAAAACTAATATAAAGTTATAATACATTTTCCAGTTTTTTGACAATATATAGAATTCTTTTCGGTATTTAAAAAAAAAAAAAGTTAAATGTTTTTAATTATCACTTTCAGTGTTAATAGTATAATCATATACTACTGTAAATGGAATTAGTCTTAATTATTTTAGATTAATGATTTGTTATTTTTGTATTACATTATATTTATATATACATATATGTAATTTATTTTATTAATTTAGGATTTGGAACCTGATTGTCCTATACCGGGAAGAAAAACAAATACTGATGGAGATATTGAAGAAAATGGATTTATTTTTGAAATTTCAAAAACGGTTGAATTACCTAGTCCATTCTGGAAGAGTGACCACGTTAAAGAAAGAAATGAAACAATTTTTTATCAGATAGACCATATTGAAAAATTAATAGTAAAAAAAGTTTGTTTTTATGATAGCTTGGTGCCAATTATATTTATATACGATATGTACTACAAATTTAATGTGCCTATTTTAGCAAAGACACAGTTACAAATGCTTTTAGAAATAATTAACAACATAGAAAAATGTTCCGGTATGGATAAAAAATGTATAGAATATTTTGAAAAATGTTATTTAGAACTTAAAAATTTAAAGGAAACAAGTAATAAAATGCCTACAAAAAAAGAAATAATGGCATTCACCTCCAAAACCTTCCCATACACTTGCGAAAACTTCTAGAATTATTAATATTATCAAGCAACACTATTAATTTAATTCTTTATTCTCTTTATATTTAAATATTTTTAAGTATATTTCTTAGTATTGTAGACTTGATTTGAATTTTATGTATTTAAAAAAAACTTTATTTGTAAGCCATGTAGGTACTGTTTTCATTATTTAAATCAATGTGGAAATATTATAATATTTATATAATCTCTAATATATATTATTATTTCATATTATGGTATAATTGTCTACTGTATAACCGCATACTTTCCAATTGTCTAGGAATGCAAATATTTTGTAAATAAAACTCTTTAAATATAATTTAAAAATAGTTATTTTAATATGATGTTGCTCCACAATCAACATATTATTATATCATTCAATTACAATTGAACACCAGTATGTGACCCACATTTAACCTACTGCATAGCAGAGCGACATCCACTTACCTGACTTACCCGTTTTTTTAACGTATTATTTGTTATGGTAACAATGTGTAAGTAAGTAGAATAAAGGGTTTGAAACTGCTGATAAATTTTTTATTAGTTTTTTTATTACCTGTAATATATATAATATTGCAAAAAGTTTTTTCCATAATAGTTTAATACCTATAAATAATAATCTTGTATGTAGCGTACACATTTGACATTTGAATTTTAATATAGCCATATAGCTGGTGGAACAGTTTATTAATTATAAGGGTACCTAGGTACCTACTATATATATATAAATACTTAATACCACCACAAAGGTTATTGGTTATTATTCAGTCTGAAATAACTGTAAATAAATAGGTCATCGTATATATTCAGATTAAAAGTATACCTACCTATTTCTGATGATTGTTAAAAACAAAATTGAAAAACTCCACACCAGCTTTGGCAGGGCCGGACTAGCCCACTGTGCTACTGTGCTACAGCACAGTAGGCTGCGGCCGTGAAAAAAAAATCTACTGAGATTACAGAATAGTGAATAGATTATCTTGGTACCTAATTATATTTTTAAAATATTAAGGGCTCTTTTTCTTACAGCGTCTTGAGCTACTCGAGATTAATCTGTGTTTTAAATTTCAAAAGTTTATCTTAAGAGGAAACAGAGATATATGGGTTAGAAAAACTGGGCGAACTGGTTCGTGTCTGCAGTGTCACAACTAGGGGGGTGGACTCCGTGTAATAGTAGGTATATTAAAACATAGGTATATTGCTTATATAATTAATATATATGATTTATTTTGTCCGACACCCCCCCCACCATGAAAAATTCATGGTTGTGACACTGGTTCGTGTAGAGATACACCGGCATTGCTGGAACTTGCCCTGGCGTAATACCGTGCGCTCAGATATGATAGGTAACACGTTATCGTTATGTCACATGGACCTCCACCACAGAATAAATTTATATATTCCATGCCTCCATGCCACCACTGACTGTTCACTGTTCAGATTAACTCATTGTTTTTCTATGTTTATTAGATACATTTGTGTTTACTGTTTATTAACAATTTTAACAATTTGTCATGTATTTCATTTGTATGTCGGTTGTAAAATATATATTAGATCAAATATCATTGGAAGATATTGTAGAATATTTAAAATCTTCATCGTCACTTATGTCTAAATTATTATCTTAAGTATAGGTACCTACTTAAAATGATTATTACCTATATCTTTTTAGGGTTCCGTAACGTGTTTTGTGTTATAATTAGTATTATTTATTATTATTTTTTTAATATTTAATGTAGGTACGTTTAATATTATTGTTATAAAGGTTTAAAAAAGATATTTTAATTATTAATTTGAAATAAAATAATTAAGTCACAAAAATAATATTGTATTTTTATTAAACTCCACTAATTATTTGTGTATTATTTTAAGGCATATAGATACTAAGTAAATTTATTTTGTATAGTATCATGGGACATGGATTATGGATAACATCACATAACTAACTAATCATGGTTGTTGAATATGAAGGTTATAAGAAAGTGGTCACTTCTAACCTCTTTAAGTCTGTGCAATATTCTAAGTACGCATGTATAAGCGATCGCTTATCCTCCTCGAGGAGCTACAAACGTGTGAGTGAGGGTACGTTTAAGCTGCGTTCTTATGTACGGATATTGGACTACCGGCAGCGTCGTCCACACAGTTAAATATTTATATACTACTATATTGGGTAATTTATTTTTAAAACTAACAGCGTTGTCGATTGCTAATAATATCACTAATATTAACATGATGAATACAGAGGAAAAAATTTATAATTTAAAATGTCATCAGACATGTTTAGACCATGGGAAGATAATGCCTAAATTGCTCAAAATAATTTCAAATTAGGTAAATAAATGTTATTTAATTTTTATAAGTATAGCACTATTAATTTATGAATTATGATAATTCTATGATACAAAAGAGCATTAGCCGATTATGCACTTTCCCAGTGTAAAGTTCCACACGGGGAATGTGTGACATGATTTATGGGAAAAGTACGACAATGCCTTATTTTGTTAAATAGTTAAAAAGATTTTATAAACATTGTGGGTGACTTAAATATTTATGAGTTACAAATATACATATTTAAATATGTAAAAAGTTGACAATTAAACTTTGAATGTGTTAACATTATATCAACCAAAACTTAAAATAACTAATACCCATGTGGCTATGTATTAACTATGTATAAAAAATCTGATGTCTGTCAATTCTTGACAAAATTAAAATAATTGAATTCTTTCAACAGAATTTCTTTAAAGATTTTTATTAGTTTATGGCACTGGCCCCGGCCAAGGAATAGCTTGTATAAAACTGTATTCAAAGTACAGTTTTTGCACTTAGCAGGGAAAGTGCAAAACTTTCTTTTTTTTTTTTAAATAAATTTTTTTTCAACTAAAAAAAGATCAAAACACTTTTTTGAATACAAAATTGAATTCCTGATACGTTCATTAATGGATGATAAAAAACTATGTTCCACGTAAGAATACAGTAAGATGGTATGATCCATTAAACTGAGATTATGAGAAATTGGAAAAGGGTAATAATCACCTGCTACATAACTTGGTTCTTACATAGAGTGGTTATAAACCTCAGGAGATTAATTTTATACCCCCACGGTGATTTAATTGAGAGGGTAACAATCATAAATAATAATATATTAATAAATATAAATAATTAATAACCCCCCCCCCCCATCATTTCACCTGTAGGCGATTATTACCTCTTCCACTGATAAAAATAATGTGGGGGGGGGGTAATAATCGCCTGTTATTGTAGGCAATTTTAATACCCTTGATATTTTTACATTCTTTAATTTTATAAATCGTCCAGTTTTCATGGTACATGGGTACAACTGTAGTTACTATACGCTTTTCAATATTTCGTTTTTTGAGTACTCAACACACCGTACTTATTCTCAATTATTCCAATTTTAAACTTTAAATTATCAATTTATTCTATTGAAGCTACAATAAAATATTTTTTAATTCAGGCTTTTGCTTCAATTCTATTATTAATTTTTTTAATTAATAAAAATTTATTATTTATAAATAATGATAATATCTTAATTATAATATCATTAATAATAAAATTAAGATTAATACCCTTTCACTTATGATCACCCTCAATAATAGAAGGATTAAACTGAGTATCATGCTTATTAATAATAACCTGACAAAAATTATACCTTTATTATAATTGTCTTATTTAAATGTAAATAAAATATAATCTTTTAATTGTATTAATTTCTATAAATTCAATTTTGGTTAAATCAAATTCAATACGTAAAATTTTAGCTATGTCTTCAATGAATAATAATACATGAATATGATTTGCAATTTTAATAAATGAAAATTTATGAATTAATTATTTTCTAATTTACTCTCTATTACATTTTTAATTATTAAAATACTTAATAATTATAATATTAATTATATTAATCAAATAAAACTCTTTAATTAAAATTTTTTTTTAAATTAAATATATTAATATTAATTTTTTCAATTATAGGTTTACCTCCTATAATAGGATTTTTAATAAAATGAATATTTATTAAAACTCTAATATATAATAATATATATATAATTATAATAATATTAATTATATTAACTATTTTAAATTTACTTTTTTATACTAAAATAACTTATATCATATTATTTAATTTTAATTTATTTAATAAATGATATTTAATGTATAAAAAAAAAAATTATGATTTCATTATATTAATAAACTTTTTTAGATTATTTTTTAGTTATTTATTTATTTATTAAAATTTTAAGTTAATTAAATAAACTATTAATCTTCAAAATTAAAAATATTATATTTTAAACCTTAACTAATATTTAATACCTTTAAATTTGCAATTTAATATCATATAATTTGAATATAAGATTTAAATGATAAAAAGATTATTCAATCTATATATAAATTTACAATTTACAACCTAATATCAGCCATTTTATCTATAAATTGAATTTTTTCAACTAATCATAAAGATATTGGAACTTTATACTTTTTATTTGGTATTTGATCAGGTATAATTGGATCATCTCTTAGAATTTATTCGATAATTATTCGATTAGAATTAAGACAAATTAATTCTATTATTAATAATAATCAATTATATAATGTAATTGTTACAATTCATGCTTTTATTATAATTTTTTTTATAACTATACCAATTGTAATTAGTGGATTTGGAAATTGATTAATTCCTATAATAATAGGATGTCCTGATATATCATTTCCACGTTTAAATAATATTAGATTTTGATTATTACCTCCATCATTAATAATAATAATTTGTAGATTTTTAATTAATAATGGAACAGGAACAGGATGAACAATTAACCCACCTTTATCAAACAATATTGCACATAATAACATTTCAGTTGATTTAACTATTTTTTCTTTACATTTAGCAGGAATCTCATCAATTTTAGGAGCAATTAACTTTATTTGTACAATTCTTAATATAATATCAAATAATATAAAACTAAATCAAATTCCTCTTTTCCCTTGATC